CACCAAAATATCAGTAAAAAGAACTAATACAATATACCTAGGTGGTGAGTGGAGGAGCGAGGGTGGGGGCTGGCAAAAGAAAATTGTTTTGAGGTAGAGGGTTTATGCCTATGGGTGTGTATGTGAGTGCTGAAAATAGTGTGTTGTGGGTGTGTGTCAAGAACCTTTGGGGCAATAGGTCGAACAACTTATAGGTGCACTCAAAGGGGTGGTGTGTGTCAGGTTGGTAGGGGGTGAGGGGTGTGAGTATTGAGTGAATGTGCAAAGGTGTGAGCTGAAATTGTTCGAATGTTTATGTGTTTGTGTGAGATGAGTAGCAGAGCCTTTGGAATACCCAAGGGTTGAGAGAGAAGGACCTGGGTGGCTCCGATGGGAGAAATACCTTATATCACCCTTTTACCAAAAAAATGTGCAATTTGTTGCCTTCTTAACAATACTTCAAAGAACCCTCCTCCTCGATACACCAAAAATGCCATGGTCTCATCATCTATAAATAAACACCATCAATAACCTCAAAAATTCAATTATGCTGCCGTGCAACAAAGATCACTTCAAGAAACTTAGGGAAACACAAACAACTTCACAATGAGAACATGTTCATATTCTAAAACAGTCCCATTCTACTCATAAACAAAATATCAGGATCCTAATTAAATAAATGAAATCAAGACAAAGCCTTATTAGCCAACCCAAACCTAATACATACACAAAAGTACATACACATCCAATTCCCAGAACCAAAATTAACGAAATAGACAACCTAAATTAGCCTACAAATTTCACAAAATGAACACTCAATAATAACCAACTCAACCTCTGTTCCATCCTAACATTTATAATAAAAAAAATAAAAAAAAACCTATTTCATAATTAAAAAAAATTAAAATTTCATAGTAAACTTATTTCATCATAACTATAAACCTATTTCATAATATAAAAAAATAAATTGAAATTTTACAAATTTTATTCAACACCCAAATTAAAAACACAAACATTTAAATACCCAAATTAATTTGCTGCTCTGTGTGTGGGTTGCGTGTGTGTGTGCGCGCTCTGTGTGTGTGTTCCAATTGTGCGTGTGTGTGCCTTATTTGTTATGTTGTGGGTTTGACTGTGTGTATTGTGTGGTGGGTTCGATCGTGTGTGTTTGTGTTGTCGTGAGAGAGAGAGACAGAGACAGAGACAGATGGGGTGTACTTGGGCGACATGAGAGGAACCATGGTAGAGAGAGGGAGCCATTGTAGAGCCTACTGGTTTAGCCATGGCAAATGAGAGAGAGAGAGAGAGAGGGAGGGAGGGAGCTGGATTGCTGGCTGCATGTGGAGTTAAAATGGGTGGGATTTGATATTTGTGTGAGATGTATTGTGAGTCTTTGGATTAAGTTAAAAGAATTGTGATGAAATCTGGGTCATTGAATTAAAAGTAGATTAAATTTGAGTCATCCTTGTACTTTCCCGAATGAAATAAAATTGAATTAAATTTTGAAGTGGAAATAAATTCAAAATTAGTTCTATCTTATTAGTATAGATGCTATACCAAAACTGTTATGCTGACCAATATTTCTTACCAAATTTTTTATCACAAGTAATGGACATAGTTTTCACCATCAAATAAATGGATCCTGTTAATATTCAATAACGAAGATTGTGTCACATCACTTGAAATGAAAAACTTTGTAAAAAACTTGGTATGCATAATATTTTTTATACTATGCTTACTAAATTTTCTTACTAAATTTCTATCCCAAATGATGTGACACAATTTTTCACCATCAGATAAGTAGGTCTTATTAATATTCAATGATGAAAATTTTGTTACATTATTTGGTATGAAAAATTTGATAAACATAACATTTTTCCTTTTAGAAATTTAAGTCTACGTAGCATTTTTCCTATCAGAAATTCGGTACGATAATATTTTGTCAAACTTGGATCGGATCGGATCGAATCTAAAAATTGGACCGTCTAGGTCAAGAAAAAATATTGAGTGTAACTCTTACATCATGTCATCGTTGTCGCATGGTGTAACAGTTTATTAATTGGTAAACAAATGAGCAAATGGATCCCACTAAAACTCATAACCACCATGCTATGTAATACATAATCACCTTCATTATAGAAAGTGGGTCCTAATTTATCCTTTTTATTATTTTTTTTATTGAATGGTTACACCATGTTAATAATGTTAATATGGTGTAACGGTTACACTCAATATTTACTCGTCGGCTCAAATTTCAACCCTAGAACCTTCAGCAATTTAATAACCCCCCGTCCAATTATCTATGTCAGATTTTTGTGTGTTTTTCTTATTAGAAATTGTGAATAAATACATAAAGGGTTTATTTGGATGTCGTATTTTGTGTGTTTAGAGAGTTGTATAGGATTAAAATATTTCAATCTCGTCTTTTATAACATTTGGATGTCAAAAGTCACTCGGTATTATGTATGATATTAAATCAAATGCATATACCAATCGTATATTTTTAATACTTTCTACTCATTATATTAAGTTTATTTTAATACCATTGAGAGGTGGTATTGTAATTCAGTAAAAAATATTATAATACAATTTTATCAATTATTATTTTCTAAGGTCAATTTATGAACTTTTAGGACCAAGTTATAATTGTTTAGGTGTTTAAGATCGATCTTAAAATAGTAGGGTCAAGCTCAAACATCTCAAAATTTGAAACTAAACGACCCAAAAAATTATAACTTTTTTTTTATTAAAACTAAACGTCCCAAAAATTGTATCTTTATCTACAAAGTTATAAATTTTGGGACCATACATATCTCAATACCATTGTGAAACACTAACACAAAAGGAGATTTTTAAGTATCATACTAGATATGTTTAAAAGTAATACATTTTGTCTGGATTTGTTTACAGCTATTGATTGTAAAAATAATAATAATATTATTTAGACCCAAATTATTAACCTAATAATTCACAATTTTTAGATTGATAGCGGATCTTAAAGACTATTAGGGTATACAGTTAATTCAGTAGTTATGAATGATTAGATCAATCAATTAAGTTATTAAATTATGTCTAAATAATGTCATTTAATAAAAAAATAATTTTTTCATGGATCTCGTTTTTGTTAGACAAAAGAATAAGACTTTCTTCGATGGAAACTCGAACTCTTACCCAAATTTGAGTAAAAAAAATGGGTAAAAAGCTTGTTTTGGTATAGACCTCTCTAATGAAGAAGGTTAGATTTAAAGGAAGATAAACTCAAATTTAAATGAGAACAAATCCAATTTTTAAAAATGGTAAAATATGATAATTGGATCTTTAAAAGATAGTGAAATTTTATCATTAAAGACTTAGGTATAGATTTAAATCTCCTTTAATTTGGGTTTAAAAAATGGTTTTTCAGATTTCCTTCATTTGGGATGGGAATGAGTTTAGCATTGGAGAAATATTTTAAACCATTTTTACCCAAATTTAAGTTTGAGTACAAAAAAGAGTAAGGACAAGAGAATGCTACACAACCCAAAAGCAACCCAAAAAATTATATAATCCAAATGCATATTATCTCTTGATGAGTGATTCCCATAAGTTTTTTTAATGGAATCCACTCATCCAAAAGATGATATATATATATATATATATTTTTTTTTTCTTTGGGTTGCAACTTTTTAGATTGTGTAGTATTTTCCAAATAGTAAAGCACTAAAAAAATTACTCTCTGACTTGAGTTACATAATTTTAAGGGACAGAGGAGTCATGAAATGGAAGGGAGAAAAGAATAAATATATACAATTCTTGGCATATTTTGCAAATGAATTTTATAGTTGAATTATCCGACACCCGTGTCCGTGAAATGAAAAAAAAACTAGTAAGTATTAGGCAATTTGATACATCCAAATAATAATATTCTCGATGTCTAAAAGATTTTCTTGTCTGAAGTAAATTGCAAACGCACCGATATTTTAGCATATTTTCAAATGCAATTCACGAACAACATCAGGAAACAATCTACATCACTGAAAATCGGCAAACAACATTTTACTCATCTTGCAAACTAGGGTTTCAAGATAGTTGTGTCAACATTATCATTCTTCACTGTTGCCTGTCCCACAAATCTAGCCAGATGAGTTTGGATTAGACCAATCCAAGCAAATCTCTTCCCAATTCCCAGTCAATAAAACTTATCAAATAGCCATGCCTTAAAAGTACTTGCCCAATAAATAGAAAGAAGAATTATGTCAAGTAATAAAAATACAACACCGTGCACTTACAACACAAACGAAGGAAATCATCATCAAATTAACGAAATACAAAATAGATTTTCCCAAAACCTCATAAAGCGTAACTCTAGTATCATATTAAAATATACAAATGATCACAAATTCACAAATTCACTCGGATAGTAGCACAAACTCCAACAACGTCTCCCTCTCTTTCTTATTTTTTTAATTTCTCTGCTCCATTTTTGTTCCATGAGATAAAAATTTATGACTACAAGGTAATAGCAACGTAGAAAATAGGAATGACAATGCAATAACCATTCGCCCTTAAGTTGACAATAAAGGATAGAGAATGACACTCACATCTATAGTATGCCTGAATGCTTGACAAACATTTTTTTTTTTCACTTTTGTCCTACAACGACACAATTATACCACTCAAATCTTTCAGATTTAATAGCAGCCTAGCCCTAGTCAACACCTCCACTCCTTCCCTGTTCCCTACCCGCCCCTCTGTCTCTCCGTATTCGTCAGTCGGTTCTCTCTCTTTCGCTTATTCACAACCCACATGCTTCGCTATTCCCAGCCATCACTCCACCTCTCTTTCCCCTGCGTATTCATAAATCGGCCAAGTACAAACCGTCGTGCCCCCCTCTATTAACCTTCCCTCTCTGCGTCTCTCTTTAATTATTCTCCCTACTTTTCTTTATACCAGTTCATTATTTTTGGACTGATCAACTCCCACATCCTCTTCCCTTTCTCTACTATGTTAGTGGCACCTGTGAAATCAGGGAAAAGTGATGGATGACTCATCCATGGCCAAAACATCCTATCGCCACTCGAAAGTCAGGTATGACATATTCCATCAATTTTTACATATTGTTGTAAATATGATGAGCAGCTTTGTGCTTCGGTGGCATTGAAAATACTTGGGTGGTCTAATTAAAGTTTGAGCATACACTAGAGATTTTGAATTTTGTCTCTTCTCCTTGTACCGATGTATTTGGTGTTTTGTATTTCAGAATGCTCGAAGGACTAGGAGATGGAAAGTCTTTTGAGTTATTTTTATTTTCTAAAACAGAAAGCTACAATACACCTCCTAGGAAGATTGGTATGTGTATTTAGTTTGTGCTAGAATTATGGGTAAAATATCCACATTATCGGCCATATATTTGGCAGTAGATTCACATTTCAACTACATATGTTTTTCCTATTTTGTTGTTTCTAACTCTATTGTTCTTGCAAGGTGATATTGATAGTATTTGTTGATATATCATTTGTTTGGTTGCTTTTCATATTTTTTGAGAAGTGACCTTCGTACTTTGATATGCCTATATTTTTGTTAGAAAATGAATGGATTTTGCCTTAAATAGAAGCCACTATCTGTTAAATGCTGACATGATGAGGTCGATTAGAAGTCAAATGATGGGATCATCAAGTCGTGTCCTCTGCATTCTTTTGGTGTTTGAAACCTAGGTTGTATTGGTTTTGTCAAACCTGAGGCCAAGAATTGGCCTCTTATCTAGCTAGGTTGGTGATGTCATAAAAAGGACTTTTCCATCAATTAGGTTCCCAAATTGAGATCTTACCACCAGTGCAACTCTTATATTACTCATCATAGGCTCAAAAGGAACATCAAATTAAGCTTGATACTGGTACCAAGGTCAAGGAGGCAAATGGAAGGTCCGGTATCATAACAAAGAAAGATGCAAGGCTAGCAACCAATGTTCTCCCCCAAACTCCTTGTTGTAAAGTTACAAATAGTTTACTACTACTCCTCTGGCATGGCCCTATTTTTTGGTCATCAAGGATATCAATCCCACTGAAACATGTTGGGAGTTGGGATATGCAGAGGGATTTACTGTATAGTTAGTTAAAGGGAGAGGGAGACCAAACAACTTCTGCCCAAGTTTTGTTGGAGTACATTGACCCTTAAAATCCTATTCTCATGTCTTTTAGACTTGAAACTTTGACTGTGGCCAGTAATAAAAGAGAAACCGTTAATAATGTCTTTTTGAAATCTATATTTACAATTGAGTGGGGCTTTTATCTGCACAATATCTGGTTCGTCTGTGAAAAGTTTCTTATGCTTGTGTTGTAAGAATTTTTCTCTTTTTGGAAGTTCTATCTTTTGATATAGTTTGGATTTTTTTACAGGTTGCTTTCAGGACGAAGGTTTTTCACCCTAATATTAACAACAATGGAAGCATTTGTCTTGATATTTTGAAGCAACATTGGAGCCCTGCCTTTACTATTTCCAAGGTGATGGTTATATTTGGTATTTCGACTACTGCAAAATATTTCTTACAAGTGGAATTACATTTGGAAAATGGAAAATAAATAGCTTGATTTTTTTGCTTCCATATTGGATTGCTGTATTTATTAGAATTTGCTTGGATTTGAGTATAAATAAGATGTATGAATGTTGCTTGGATCTTATGGGTTATGCATTCAATAATGGTTTGAGGTATTTATTGGTTTAGGTTCACCACACGAAATGGTTTCAACTTGTTAGTGGGAAAATGGATTTATATTTGTTAATTTTGTAGGAAAGACATGTATGTCTCAGTTCAATATTCGAAATTAAGCCACTTTTTCCATGCGAAACACTTTTGTTTTTTTTTTGGCGTCTCTTGATTAGCGGCTATGAAACATGGATATAAATACGGGGATGATATGACAAAATCTAAAAAAATTGGATACAAATATGACTAAGATACACCTATAGTAAAATATATATTTCATATTTTTACTATTATTTACCGTCTTATTAATTATACGTTGGTTAATTTTTTAACGTTGATTTGGGTAATATCGTAGCTGCTGCAAGGATTGTTGGGAAGAAGGTTAATGCACTTCTTCGTATCAATACAGATGTGGATCCTCAGGTGTGTAGCTGCCACACCAAATCCATATGATGCAATAATGTAACCTTATGTGACTTTCCGTTATCTTGATATTAAGAAGGGAAGCTGTTGTGATGGGTATATTGGCATTTTGTAAATGGTTGATAACAAAAAATATGAGAAAAATCTAATCAATAGTAATCACGTTGATGGATGATTTTTGAATCTCCCGAAGTTATTAATTATTATAGGATCATCTATACTTTCATTATTGCCTTCAGTCATGTTAAGTCAGAGTTAAATTGAAAAACCACATTAATTTCCCATGGTTTCAAGGATACATCAGCTAATGAGATACTTGGGGTGTGACATTCTTGGGAGAAAAATCATGGTGAGCATTAGAAACTAGAAAGCCTTTCTAGCAGAATTCTTTTTTTTGGCTTTTACCTCATAAGTTCAGTCCAGCCAGTGATCTGGAAGCATACCATTGCTGTAAATCACCATTGTCACAACCCAGCGCCACCCCCCTCAACACCTGCTGCACATAACATAACCTACCATGTAGTTAATCACCTTGGCATTGCACATCCATTCCTTGCTCAAACGGCCCTACCCCACCTCACCCTACTTAAACAACCAATGGGTTCCATTGCACATCCATCACCTCCAGTGTGAGGTTTCAATTCTTTGAAATAAGGAGGTCCTTGATCCAATCAATGTACATCCTGGCCATTTGCACTTTTTTTAGTTTTGGCTTCCCACAAATTTCTTGTTGGAATTATTCGATATTGTACAAAAGATTAGCAAAACATTCAAGTCTCATGGCTTTGACGTTTAATTTTTCATTGTCTGCATGTGTATATTAGGTTCATCCTTATGTTGCCACCGGTAACAAGAACTCCAAATTTGGTATCAGAAATGAGAAGTTGCAATGGTTTCTAGATGTTGTGAAGGCATATTCTAATGAATCGAAGCTTGTGGGGGCCCATTGTCATATTGGTTCTACCATTACCAAGGTATTATACCAAAACACTGTTTTCTACTTTTCATTTTTCCAATCAACTTTAAAAAGATTTGTATATCAAAACAATATTTTCTACAGTTCATTTTTCTTATGCAATTGAAAAACTAATATTTGAATTTTGCAGAATTTTGTGCCTTGGGCTGAAATTTTTGTTGTGACATTGTTGAATGTGTATGCATGCATAGAGAAGTACCCAAGCAATATGAAATGTTATTTACTAAGAATGATTTGCCATTTTTGCGTATTCTGCATGTGGTGGTTTTCCACCATTTTATTTTTTAATTTTTTAGGGGTTGGGGTGGATTTGATTAATATTCTCTATAATGCTGATTATGATGAACTCTAGAAACTTGCGATTGCTAAAACTCTGATGCAGCGAGCTGTCAACTCTTGTTTGTGGACAGTTCCTTGCTATCCTTTGGTCATCCTTTCATTTTTTACCCATTTTTCTTTCTTATTTTTTTCTCCTCTATATTGATTCTCCACCAGTTCATCTCTCTTTCTGAGTTTATGCATCTTTATAATTTTGATCATCAACATTCTGAAATTTTTTACTTTAATGGAATATGTATGTTTATCACAATCTTTATTCTCAATAATATAATGCTTTTTTTTTTCGTGTGTGTGTGTTCTACACAAACCTAAAGGTACTATTTTTCTCTCCAGGTAGACATTTTCAAAGATGCTGCGGTAATAATGGTGACCTACGTTGACCAAATTCGAGCCCAAGGCTTTGAAATTGATTACTTTAACATAGGAGGTGGTCTGGGGATTGATTATTATCATACTGGAGCCATCCTTCCCACCCCTAGAGATCTTATTGACACTGTAAGAACCCTGATTTCAATTGTGGCATATAGTCGTATGTGAATCATGGGGCACAGCAAATATGGTTGTTATTCACTTGCAGCTAGTCTTATTCTGCACTACCTTCATGCAGCTAGCCTTATTCTGCACTACCTTTGTAGGGGAGAGTTCCTTGATATATCAAGGACATCTACTAACTTTTGTGATTTCTGGAGGTGTGATGTCTGATATTCTAAAATGTTCCCAAAATTACCATACCACTTCCAATCACTACAACTTAGTACGTTTATAGAATAGTATGCTACCATAAACAACCATCAACTGCTGTCTCTGTTATATCACTTCTTCCATATTTCCTGTTAGTATTTAGTAATGATATTATTACTTGATATCACCATTTGGTAACTATGAAGATCATGACGCTGAATCGCGTACAATAAACGGTTGCTATGAGTATGTCTTATTACTGGCCAATAGACTCATTGACAAATGGTAATAAACTTTTGGACATTGTGGTGCTTAATTGAAGTTGTTGTGTTTCTCTGGGTTTGCTCAGCATTAACAGAAGTGCTTATATGGCTATTGAATTCTTGCCTCCTAATGGGGTTTGATATTAAGAAAATCAGCAGCATTGGTACTTTGGACCATGTGAAGGTGCTATTAACATTTTTTATGAGTGTTTGCTGTAGGTCAGAGAGCTGGTGCTTTCACGTAATCTCAATCTCATCATGAACCTGGGAGATCACTTATTGCAAATACTTGCTGTTTAGTTAATCGTGTCACTGGAGTCAAAACAAATGGGACAAAAAATTTCATTGTGATCGATGGCAGCATGTCAGAACTTATCCGCCCTAGTCTCTATGGTGCTTATCAAGTAAGTTTCTAATACATAAGCTACTCTGTGAATTTGCCTTTGTGGATCAAAACATTGTTGTCAGACAATCCAAGCCCTGCTCCTTCTTTCTGTCATATGCAAAATCAAATTTGCGTCATAGACCCTTCTTTTTTAATCACTGTGGATTTTTTGGGTTGCAATTAAATGTGTGTATTGGAATAGAAGTCTAATAATTTTTCCTTGCAATTGATCTAGTAGTCAGTAAATTACTTTTGACTAACTATTTGTGATGACTGCTACCTTAACATGTGAAGAGTCCTTTCTAGTGCAATGCAAAATCCCATTACAATAAATTGCCCCAGTTGTGAACAACAGGAATAGTAGTTATTATTCCCTTGCACGTTTGTATATCTAGTCTAATTAACCCTCCCTGTTTTCTCTCGCTTGCACGTAATCATTATGTTCTTGTCATAAACTCTTTTCGCTCTTGGTCATTGTTTGACTTTTGAATGCAGCACATAGAGCTGGTTTCTCCTTCACAACCTGATGATGAGATTTCTACTTTTGATGTTGTGGGTCCGGTCTTCTAATAGAGAGAATCAGTTGTTCTCAACTGCTTGACTTATTCCTTCATAGCAGATTGTATTATTCAAATGTATTTAGCTGTCTTCCATAGATATAGGATTCAGTTTGTAACAACTTCCTAGTTTGTAGGATCTTCAACCATTCTTAGTTATTTCCCTGGTGTATTTATACGATTGATTAGCCACTAATAGAATTATCAGTTTTGTTATTCTCTCATGGTATCAGAGTAAAACCAGAGATAACATATTCCAATATTTTTTTTTTCTCTCTCCTTCCCCTCCTTTCTTTAATCTCAAACAGCCATGGGTAACTCTTCACCCTTCATTCTCAACACCAATGAATCCCACAACACCCTTATCAGCATAAATGTTGTTGCCCAAACCCCTCTAAAACTCACTTCCAGCAACTACCTCTCCTGGAAACTGCAATTTCACACTCTCTTCATTGGCTATGATCTCTTGGGCTATGTCGATGGCTCAAAGCCATGTCCCTCAGCCACTCTCACACAAAATGACACAACTAGATCAAACCCTGCTCACATCCTCTGGATCCGATTGGACCAGTTAATCTTGAATGCCATCACAGGCTCCATCCACCCCACTATCATACCATTCATTGCACAAGCCTAGACCGCTCGCGAAGCATGGACTATCTTGGCCAACACCTACGCATCAAACAGGCCAAAAGCCAACTCAAGATGATCACCAAAGGCTCTGAAAGTGTCATAGCGTTCCTGCAATCCATAAAGGCCAAAGCTGATGAGCTTGCCCTTCTTGGAGCACACCACTAGATGCAGAAGATCTCATCGACAAGATACTTGATGGACTTGGCGATGAATACAAAGAACTAACATGTGCTGTCCAACCCAGAGACACACCTATAACCTTTGAGGAACTACATGAAAAATTGCTCAATTTTGAAGCTTCGGTGATCACCACAAAACCAGACCCCTTCAGTTTCCTACCACTGCTAATCCCACGACTAGGAATCTAACAACTTGGCGCTCACCTGCACCTTCAGGCACCAAAAATCATTCATGGCGTCCCTCCAACAGCCACCAAAATTGGTATCCTACTACACAAAACAGCGGGCAACTCACAACTCAAGGAATTCGCCCAACTCGGCCATACCTGGGTTATTGCCAAATCTGCATAATACAAGGTCATACAGCAAAACGGTGTCCTTCATTTCGGCTAGTCCCAGTTAACACATCCAACAGTACTTCCCTGCTTCGAACAATCACTCTGCTACCCCATGGCAACCAAGGGCTCATTATGCTACTAACAATCCCAGTCATACATCTTGGCTCCTGGACAGTGGAGCCTCTCACCATGTTACAGCTGATCTAAACAATCTCTCCATGCATGCTCCATACAATGGCTCGGATGACATTATGATCGGCGATGGCTCGGGTCTCTCCATTACACATACAGGTTCTTCCTCTCTCAACACAACTCATAACACTTTTCAATTGAACAATGTCCTCTGTGTTTCTGCTATGAAAAAAAATCTCATTTCAATTTCTCAATTTTGTACCTCAAATAATGTCTCCATTGAATTCTTCCCGACTGCTTTTCTTGTAAAGGACATTCACAAGTAGGCAACACTTCTAAAGGGCCAAACTAAAGATGGTGTCTATGAGTGGCCGGTATCTCCACCGTTGCTTGCTTTTTCCAGCATCAAAACAACCTTATCTGAGTGGCATCAAAGATTAGGACACCTAGCTTTCCCCATTTTGAAACAGATTGTTTCCAACAATAAACTCGATGTCTCTTCTTTATTATTGTCTAATTTTTCATGTAATGCTTGTCTAAGTAATAAAAGCCACAAATTGTCATTCTCTCAATCCACAATTATCTCTTCTCAACCCTTGAAACTGGCTTTCTGATGTTTGGACTTCTCCAATTATATCAAATAATGGATTTAAATATTATGTCATTTTTGTAGATCATTTCACCAGATATATTGGTTCTATCCTCTTAAACTAAAGTCAGAAATCAAAGATATTTTTATTAGATTTAAAGCCATTTTTGAAAAAACACTTTGATAAAACAATCAAAATACTTTATTCTGACAATGGTGGTGAATATATTGCACTTGCCCATTTTCTTTCGACGGTATTTATCATCTCACTACACTACCTCACACACATGAACACAATGGTCTTTCTGAACGAAGACATCTTCACATTGTAGAGACTGGATTAGCATTACTCTCTCATGCCTCTCTTCCTTCAAGTTATTGGACTTGTGCCTTCGCCACAACAGTTTATTTAATAAATCGCATGCCAACACCCACACTAAACCTCTCCTCTCCATTTGAAATTTTTTTACAACAGCTCCTAATTACTCAAAACTCAAAATTTTGGCTGTTTATGCTATCCCTGGCTCAGACTATATGCAACCAACAAAAACTAGACACTCGATCCAAACCATGTGTCTTCCTTGGATACTATTTAACATCAGAGTGCTTATTACTGCCTTGATCCATCCATATCCAAAATATATGTATCTAGGCATGTTAGATTTGTTGAGTCTGTATTTCCCTTCAGTCATCTCTCTACTCCTCTTCTCCTCAATCAGACTCCATGCTACTTGGATTCCTCCACCACTTCGAATTCCCACCTTGCCTTTGGTACCACCACTCAATCCGTCATCTGCAGTGGAAGCTCAATAGCAATTCCCCAATGAAGCTTCACAACCACTAGACCTGGCCGACACACCTATTCTACCACCATCACATGAACCTTCAAATAACAACAATCCCCAGCCACCATCACCACAAATAACACCCCCCGAGCCCTCAGCCACAACCCACCCACACCATGACTACTAGAGCAAAAAAACAATATTCGCAAACCAATCACCAAAATGAATCTTCACACCCAATTAACCAAAGGTGATGCCCTTGAACCAACCACATTGACC